CCAGGTCCCATCTTTTCATCAGTTTCTCTAGCAATTTATACAATTCTATATATTCCCTTTTTTGTTCTTGTTAGAATGTCCAAAACTAAGAGAGGGACTTTTAAGTCTCCTGTTACTGGAGTTCTAAGTCTTCATTTAATTTAATTTTTCTGAATCCAGATGCTAAGGCACTTATAGCTTATAAGTTTTATATTGATACTGGTTTGTTGTTTTGATAATATTCCTTTTTTATCTCTATATTAGGCCTTTGTGTTTTTTGCTTTGTCTGATAGCATGATTGCAACTCTTCCTTTTTTTGGATTACTTGGATTGTAAATTTTGTTCCAGTTCCTCATTTTTTAAAATAAATTTTTAAAAATTTTAAACTTAAATACAAAATGAGAAAAGGGGAAAAAATGCCTTGTGCACAGCAGACCATAGGAGAGGACTGAATATAAAACAATAAATTTCCATTTCAAGAAAACCTATATAATAAATACTATACATTGTTTTCAAAGCTGCCCAGCTATTCTTTGCTTCCTTGTTGGTTTTCTTTTGTCCTCTGCTGTGTACTTTTTAATTTGTTTTTATTTCCCTTTCTTCACCTAAAGAAGACTGCAATTAAGTGTGGCCATATAGATGTATGGATGTATATATACATTTATATCCATACATATATACGTATCTATAAATATATACACATACACATATATGTAAGCATGTACTATGTTTATTTCCATGTGTCATCTTTCTCTGAAGGTGAATAGCATCTTCCTTCATAAGTCCAAGTGTTCCCATGTTTCCCTAAATCAACCAGATCATCATTTCCTACGCCATAGCAATGTTCCAACCCAATCACATTCTGAGAGATTGTCTGTGAAAGTTTCCCCCCAATTTTCTAAATTCCTTCTATTCTTGGCTACATAGGTTTTATTTATACAAGAAATTTTAAATTTAAAATAATCAAATTTATTCTTCTTACACTTCAACAATGCTTTCCCTTACAATATAGTTTAAGGTTTGATACTGTTGAATCTACTTCCTTTACATCTTTTTTTCCTGTTTTCTTTGAAGTTCCTGACTTTTTGCTCTTCCAAACGAACTTTTTAACTCAGTAAAAATTTTTTTAGTAATTTAATTGTAATGACATTGACTAAATAGATAAGTTAGGTAAAATTGTCATTTTAAAAATTATTTTGGCTTTACCTACCCATAAACAATAAATATTACTTCAATTATTTAGATCTGAGTTTATTTATATAAAGTGTTTTATGTTTATGTTCAAATAGTTCCTGTGCCTGTTTTCAAACCCCTCATTTCTGTTGTTTATTTTATTTTGTTCGTGTTTATTCTATTTTATTCAATTTAGTCTTTGCAAGTTTTGTTTTCTTCTGCAGTCTGTCCCTCTCATTAGTCTTACTGGATGTTTAATCTAGTCATATTTAAAATTAGGAGCTAGGTTTATATTTTCCTTCAATTGTTTCCATTCCCCCTCACCCCCAATTACTATTTTTGGGTTCCTCTTCCTCTTTAACAGCTGTACTTTGTCTCTTCAGTTACTTTTGCTCAGTTTTCTTTAAGGCAACCCTACTCCCACAGACTCTGTTCCAGCTTCCTCCAGTCATTCCCCTCCTGCTGGTCACACCCTAGTTTTGGAATTTGAATTTATTTCTATTTCTTTCTTCCTTTTGTCTAGTTAGCCAATTCTTCCCTTTTTTTCGTTCAGTTAAATAAGCAAAATCCCTCTTCCTTTCTTCTCCTTTTCATAGTTTTTTTATTGTCTTAGCCTTTTTCAAAAAAAAGCATTTCCTTCCCTCATTCTCTTCATTAATTATCTCCCTTTTCTATTCTAAACTTTTATTCTTTGATTCACAGTCCTTACGTTTATTCTTTCTTTAGTTCCCGTGTTCTTCAGAGAATTAGTCATTTATTAGTCAATAAACGTTTGTAACGCAGAGAATTAGTCATTTATTAGTCAATAAACGTTTGTAACGCAGCTACTATGTACCTATGTACTCAAGCTCACAGTCTAATAGGGAGGGTGGGGGTGTTAGGGAACAACATGCAAACAACTCTGTACAGACAAATTACAGACAGGATAAAGTGGACATGATCAACAGAGGGAAGGTACTAGAATTCAGGAGGGATCTTGAAAGGCCTCCTCTAGAAGGAGGGATTTTGGCTATTACTTGTGTGCTACAGCTACCCAGAAATAACACTCAGAGATTTTCTAGATATAAAGTGAAAGATTTATTACGTTCTCGCGAGAAGCAGTCGTCTGCTTCCTCCGGCAGTCCCAGCGAAGCGAGGCAAGGCACAAAGGCCAGGACAAAGGTTATATAGCCCTAACACAGCAATACTCACCCACCACTGGCTTTGAATTCCCATTGGACAGGAATTTCAGCCTTACAATCTAAAACGCGAAAATCTACCCCAGAAACAAGGAATCTCATTATAGTACTACCAATCCTAGCTATTTTATCCTTTTTAGTAATTAGCCATTACCTAATGCTGATGTAACAGTACAAATCATATGTTTTCTAGGGACCTGAAACTTAGGCCTATTGAGGCTAGTGTAACCAACCTTGAGTTTGCAACAGTCTAAGAAATTGCTACACTCTGTCCATCTGAGAGATCTCACATTATTTACATTGTTTCACTCAGTTAAAAAAACCAAAGTCTTGACAAAAGTTTGCAAAAGGAGAGATCTCTTCATTGACTTTCTCGAGAAAGTGCACCCCCATGCTGCCTCCGCTGCCCCAAGAGTTGGAGTGCTCTTTGTTCAAGGCAAGACTACATAGACCCCAACGTAGCAGCCCGCCCTAACCCCCTTCCCTTTGGCTCTTGACTGAGCCTCAGGTATACAATCTATTCGTGTAAAAACTACCCTAACAGCAGAGAGAACAAAGAGGTATAGAAATTATGTTAGCACGTTCCCCTTTTCAGGGCCTCACAGTTTCAGTAGTCTTTTACCCAAGCTCATACAACCAGCTAGAGGACGAGATGGACAGGATGCTCCCATGTCTCAGGAATTTCTGCTAACACTGTCCAAGAGTAGGGGAAAGAGAAGGCTAGGGGAGGGGGTCTTGTATTCTGAGGGGTCTTCACTTAGTGTTGGTACACATGTACCACTCAAAAGCAACACTACCAGAACCATTAACAAGAACTAATGACCCTTTGAGGAGGCTTCACTTTTGAGAGGTCATCTCTCACATACTTGAAGGAGCAAAGCCCAAGGCAGAGGAGGTGAGGGAGAATTCCAGTCATGGGAGATAGCCCCTGAAAATGCCCTGGAAGTGGGATGTCTTGTGAAGGAGCAGCAAGGAAGCCAAAGTCACAGAGTACCTATTTGGTGTGTAAAAGTTTGGGGGGTGGAGGGGAGAGTTCTGGGGTTGTAAGCCTCCCTTTGCATTACTGCCTGTCCTACATTTCGCCAGCAGCCAAGCTGGCCTTCTCTCTGTTCCTCACACATAACGTTCCATCTTCTGTCTTATGTGCTTTTGCACTGGCTGTCCCCCAGACTTGTCGGGGACTCCTTTCACGTCTCCATCTCAAACTCTCAAGATGAAGCTCAGGAACTACCTTATACATGAAACCTTTCTTGGCCCCTCCCCCAACTGATAGTACCAGTCCCTTCCAAACTCTCTTGTAATTAGCCACTTTGTATTTTTCTTTATATTTATTCTGCATACACGTAATACATGTATGTGTTGTCTCCCCTCCTTAGAATGTAAGCTTCTTGCAAGTAGGGACTGTTTCATTCTTTGTACTTGTATTTCCAGGGCCTAGCCTGTAGTAGGTGCTTAATAAATGCTTGCTGATTGGCATGGTGAGCAGCAGAGGTTAACAGTGAAGGGAAGGTATTTGACCTGAATCAAGAGACCAGGGGCCCCCTTCCATCTTAGCTCTTTTGTTTTAAGTTCACCTAAAGGCATTAGGGTCAGAGATCTCAGTTCAGACATGATGTCACAGCACCTACCCTAACTAGACCCTTGACCTGACTTCCCTGCCAACCAGGTCACTCCCATGAGGTCATTCTGAGCCTTCTCAACACCATTTTGTCCTGTATCTGTACAACCCTTGGAAAGGAAACCAGCCCGTTTCCTCAGGAAACCTAAAGGCCAGGGACGACTCGATGCCATATGCTGAGTTAGTGAAGTCGCCAGGCAAAGGAAAGAATTCTTGGGTCATTCTGAATCGCTTTTTTTTTTCAGTTCCCCTTAGACCACAGAGACAGGAATAGCCTACTTTTTATGTCACTTGGATCACTATCCCCAGATGATCCTGCTCCCCAGATCCAGATCCACTTCTCCACAGCCATCCATAGTCATGAGGCATAACTACTGGTTGCTGAGGTTCCTGATTCCTCCCCTTACCTCTACACCAACACTTTTTTATTCCAGACTCCCTAGTTCTGTGGCCTTCCTTAGCCCTGACAATACTAAGGCTTGGCCCTGTGTCACCAGATCTCTCTAACTCCTGGAAACAAGCTTTTGGGTCAGTAAAGCCCAAATACCCAATCTGCCTGCCTGACAGTAATCTTGAGAATTCAGATAAACAATAAAGAGGAAGCTGACCCACTCTGGCTTGGAGGGGAAAGGGAATGGGAAGGGATATTAAGACAGCTAGATGAATGGATCCTACTGTGGGTTTCCAGGTCATCTATATACTGTTGCAGCCCTGCTTTGATTCTAGGCCAGGAAAACTTTCTTTCTTTTATGACTAATTGTGGGAAGAACAAGATTCCTTTAGTAGCCACTAAAGACATCAGATTTAAAACTTATGTGATCCTCCTAAACCTCTTTTATGGTGACTGTTAGGTCACTTTGTGTCTACTACTCACCAGCCCTCAGGGGGAGAGGCCAGGATTGAAAGTATGTATGGGGGCAGGTAGGTGGCGCAGTGGATAGAGCACTAGCCCTGAAGTCAGGAGGACCTGATTTCAAATCCGGCCTCAGACCAAACACTTGACACTTACTAGCTATGTGACCCTGGGCAAGTCACTTAACCCCAATTGCCTAAACACACAAAAAAAAAAAGTATGTATGATGCTGCAACAAAATAGTGAGCAAAACTCACTAACCTTGTGCTGACCATTTCTTTATTCACTTGGAAAATCATCAAGATAGTGAATGAATTTTGCAGTTGTTTAAAAAGAATTACAAAATTGAAGAATCAAAATGTCAGAGATGAAAGAGACCTCACTAGCCACCTAGTCGTACCTGAAAATGAATCTGCTCTCCACATGCCCAGGAAGTGGTCAGCCAGTCTCTGCTCTCAGAAATCAGGGGAAATAAACCAACATGGTGTCAGAGAGCAGGAACTCAGGTCTTCCCAAGCAGAGCCCTGGAAGTCTTCTCCCAACAGCCTTTTGGTCAACAGTCAATGGCATGAACTGATGACTACACAGAGGTGGTAGACCAAGGAAATTTGGAGGATTCCTCATTCAGCGCAGAAAAAGGTGAGTTTACATTCAGCAGCAGGAGACTACAAAGGGAGCATAGCCATTTCTGCTGCTTTTGATAAGGCCAACCCCAAGGCAGAGGCCAAATGATGAGACAGAGGGCATATCTGCTCGCCTCAAAACTCCGAAGACATGGAGTAACCATCACAGATTTTTCCCCTGCAACTTTCCTGTCAAGCAAGGGGACCACAGGCATGGGGGAGTAGCTAAAGGAGGCCTGAGTTAGAAGGAAGTTAGAAGGGTCTTGCAGCAAAAGCAATAGAAGAAAATCTCTCTTTGTTCTTTTTCCTCTCTCAATGTACTGTAGGATCCCAGAGCAGAGAATACTCCACGGAATTGGAACAGTGCTGTCAGGCTTATGAAAATAAATTCCCCTGGAAACCTGGCCGAACACCTGGATTAGCACCAGGGTCACCAAGGGAAAAGGCTGGAGAGGAAAGAACATACATGAGTTGGACAGAAGGGGTAACCTGGACAAAGTGGGGCTAAGTAACTATGAAATACATAAAAGAGCACATCAGTCTTTGTAGACAGCTCTTTCTTCAGCTGAAGTGGTTCTCTTTACATCTTTAGAATTTTGTTCTTGAGAACATCCCATCCTTCTTGGGCTGACTGACCCTATACCTTTTTGTCTATTGGCTCTTCGCTATCTGTTCTCTGAACCCCTTGAAATTTGTTCTCTCCAAATCTAGGATGCCTACAAGGCTTTGCTTTTCTTCTCCATCGCAAAGTTTAAGAGAGTGGTCACTCTCACCCAAAGTTCCCATGAACCAGTTCTATGCTATTAACCAGATCTTCCTTTCCGGTAAGAGTCAAATTCAAAACAAAATTCCCATACATTGGTTATTCTACTTTTTAAAGGATGAAAATATTATTAAAGAATGTCAGAAATTACTAGCTGCTCTTCTTTTGACAGAGAAAGAGCGCCAGCAGATGTCCAGATAATTGAAGCCCACATCCATCACTACTATATCATTCCAGGATTATAATATGGCAACCATATGTGCTAGGTATAGGGACAATCTACTTTGGGCTGCAGACTCTAAGGCAGGTCTCTTTTTATCATTACCCAGAAATCCTGAACAAAGCTTCATACTCTGAAAAAAGCTAAACAAAAATAACATTTCCTTGAAGGGATGGGGAAAATCCATAGCCACATTCTGCAAGCATAAGATTACCTACAAGAAACTGAAGATTCCTATGGTTTGAGGTTGGAAAGGCAAAGAAGGTAAATACAGGATGAATGAATGGACTTAGTTTCTTAGAGACTAGAAAAATCTCTATTCTGCTCCTCACTAGTCCTACTATCACACACAAGTCACTTCCTCAGTCTGGGCCTCAATTCTCTTATCTGTAAAAGGAGAGGTTGGACTAGATGATCCTTCAGGCCCTTCCACTAAAAAATCTATGATCCTATAGATAGATGTCTAGATCAATATAGTTCGAAGAAGTCATCGTTATGATGATGTCAGAGGGACAAGGAAAGAGAAAAAGGAGCAATAAAAAAGAATGGAAGAAACAAATGAGACCAAGGCTGAAGGAAAGCCTGCGTGGCTCTCCCTGGAACATTGGTTTTCAGCAGCAATCCCGTCCTGGCTAAATCATCTCTATGGTTTTCAGGGCTTTGGAGAGAATCCTGCTTCTCTTCCCCAAGGATGAATAGTGGAAAGCAATTCTGGAGTGATTGGTCCTCAGTGGTGGGCTCTTGGTTATTGGAAAGAAGAGGCAAGGATCCTGAATCATTGTCAATTCTTTAAATGGAACAAATACATCAGTAAATAAATTCGAATTAAAACCCAAATGTATGCACAGGAGTACAGACACACAGAAAAAGGGAGAGACAGAGATGGAAGGAATTATATATGTGCATGTATTATACATACGACACACAAACACACACAAAGAAAAAAAGAAACAGTGATACAGAACTAACAGTGGAATTACGCAAATAAGGAAAAACCTCTTCTTTCTTCCCTTCAAAGAATCAAAAAAAAAAAGGCCCACATAAATTCTCTGCATTCTTCAGTATTCTAAAATGGTCAAACTTAGCTGACACCTCTGTCTGGGGCACCCTTTCCTCCATGATCCTACAGGCTCCAGGCATGGCTGCTCCTCATTGGGCTTCACCTCCATCACAGCCCCACCTGCTCTGACGCTGACATTTCTTCATTATTCCTCTGCTTCTCTGGGGACTCACGTATTTTAATCCTTCATGCTACAGGAATAATCCAGGCCATTGGCTGTGACAAATTCTGGAAGGCAAGAGCAGGTGTTAGGATTAGACTTTGTGGCAGAGTGGCTGCAGTGTGCCAGAACAGAGGAAAGCTTCCCACTCTCACTGAAGCCTGGTAAAAAAGAGAGGAGGAGAAGGAAAAGAAGAGAACTAGGAAGCAGAAAATGTCATCATTGCATTTGGCAAGCTGGAGAGAAGCTCGCTCAGATTTCCACACTGATGGTTTGGAAAGTGAGAGCCTTTGGGATTTCCTGGAATACAAACAGTTCTGAGGACTGACCTCTCAAATAGTATCTAAGTGTCCAGGATCCCTGGCTGCCCTTCTATCAATGTTGATTAATATGCTTAAAATCCTTCTCACATTCATAGTTTATGACCATAATTTCTCTCAAGCCTAAATTCTCTAAATGCCACGTAAACTCTACCAGAAGACTTTATCCTTTTCATTAATTTTTAGAGTTTCTCTGGATGAATTTATATAGAATAAGGTCTCTCCCCTAGCCAAAGCATTATGATATACCCCTCCAGTATGAATTCTGTGATCAGAAGCAAAGGATGACCTGCAAAGGCCTTCTGAAATGAGGCCTCATATAACTCCTCTCCAGGATGAAGACTCTTCTCTGATGTTCAGTAAGCCCCATGCTCTGGTGGGTCTTCGCACTTTTATTATGTTTTCTCTGTGGTATGAATTTTGTAATATTGAGGAAGATGTAAGATCTTGTGAAAGATCTTCCCACATGTGTAAAACTTCAGAGCAAATAAACACATTCTCATTTTGGTTTTAATTGTCTAATATCAATTAAGCTAATATAATTAAGCTATATATATATATGTATATATATATATATATATATATATATATATAAGCTATATATTCCACATTTAATACATCCTTAAGATTTCTCTGCAGTATGCATTCTATCACAGTGAAGAAGTTCCTCCTTTTGGGAGGCTCTCTTACCACATTCATAAAGTTTTGTAGGTTTCCATTTAGTACGAATTCATTGAAATTCATTAAGTTGTGTGCTCTGATTGCAGGGCTCTGCACACTGACTATATTAAAGTTTTTCTCTCCAGTATTAACTTAAAGATGCTGAATAATGTTTACTGTGGCAGGATGACTACACTCATTCATTATATTTCAAAGCCTCCTCTCCTGTGTGAATTCTCTGAGCTGTATGCTCAGATACAAAGCTTTCTCACATTTATGACATCCATAAGATTTCTCTCCAGTGTGAATTGTCTGATGTCAAATAAGTTCTGCCCTCTGGGGGAAGGCCTTCTCGCATCCGTGACATTTATAAGGTTTTCTGTACTATGAATACTCTGTTATTGAATAAGTAGTGTGCTTTGGTGAAAGGACTTTCCACATTGACATTCATAAGGTTTTTTTTTTCAGTACAAATTCTCTGACAGCAAGCAGGAGGTGAGATATTATTAAAGACCTTCCCAGTTGATTACATTCATATGTTTTCTTGCCAGTATGAATTCTGTGATAGGAAGGGATGAATTATAACTCCAAGCCTTCCCATATTTATTACATGCATAAAGCTTCTTCTCAGAATGAATTCTTCTCTTTCTAATAAGCTGTGTGTTTAAGCAAAAGGCTTTCCCACAATGATTACATTCACAAGGTTTGTCTCCAATATGAACTGTATGGTATTGAATAAGTTCTGCTCTCCTGGGGAAAGCCTTCCCACATTCATTATATTGTTAAGGTTTCTGTCCATTATGAATGTTCTGATGTTAAGTAATATGTGTGTTCTGGCAAAAGGACTTCCCATTCTTCATTATATTTATAAGGTTTCTCTACAGTATGAATTCTAGAATATGAAATAAAAGATAAACTGTGATTAAAGGCCTTCCCACATTCATTACATTCATATAGTTTTTTCTTCTGTATGAATTGTCTGATGTCAGGCAAGTTCTGTGCTCTAGGAAAAGGCCTTTCAACATTAGCTATATTTATAAGATTTCTCTCTAGTATGAATACTCTCATGTTAATAAGTTTTGCGCACTGGTAGAAGGCCTTCCCACATTCATTACATTCATAAGATTTCTCACAAGCATGAATTCTGTGACATTCAACAAGGTGAATGCTCTGAGGGAAAGCCTTCCCACATTCATTATGCTCATGCTTTTCCTCCTCTGTATGAAGTATCTGGTGATGAGTAATAGATGTCCTATAGTTGAATGTTTTCCCAAATTCATTATATTCACTTTCTGCAGCATATATTTTATGATATCTAATAAGGTTAGAATTATAACTGAAAGACCTCCCACCTTCATTATAATTTGAAAACATTTTCTCTGAGCAAATTCTATTGCATTTACTTAGGTCTAGGACCAGCTAGGTGGCACAGTGGATAGAGCAGCAGCCCTGGAGTCAGGAGGACCTGAGTTCAAATCCAGTCTCAGACACTTAACACGTACTAGCTGTGTGACCTTGGGCAAGTCACTTAACCCTAGCCCAAAAAAAAAAAAGTACTTAGGTCTGAATATGGTATGAAGCTCTTTCTGTGCATATCATATTTATAGAGACTATCTCCTACAAATATTCTTCTGTTATAGAAAAAAAACACTGGTCCTTCACAGGAGCTTGAAACGTGTTTATTCCCATTCACGGCCTCTCGTGTTACTTAGAACTTTTCTTTGGTGATTTTTACCTTCCAAGACTCTTTCTCTTCATTGCTCTTCCCCATCTCTAACCTGGCATCACATTCCGAGGTTTCTCCCACCTTAGAGTCACAGAGACCAAACCTTGTGGGTTTGTCCTGGAACAACAGCTCCACAGAAATGCCCCGCTTTGGGGTTGACTCCTTCATTTCAGGCCTAGTCTCCCAATATGAAAAACAACAATCATCAACAAAGATGGAAATATTACCTGTATCTTATGCATTATACTTAATCCTTTTTTCTGTCTTCACCATCAAGAGATGTGATAGTCCAAAGTAGATGCCCATTGATTAAACAATAATTAAAGAAACTATGGCACCATAATAGAAGAGAATTTGGAGTAGAAGGGAGAAATAAAGAAAAAAAGAATCACAAAATGAGAAAATTTGAGAGTAGGAAGGACCTCAGCGACCACCTAGTTCAACCCATACTGGAAAAAATACCCTGCTATACCACATCCAACAAGTGACTGTCCAGCCTCTGCTTGAAAAATTTCAAAGGAGGGGGCAGCTAGGTGGCAAAGTGGATAGTGTACTGGCCTTGGAGTCAGGAGGACCTGAGTTCAAATCCAGCCTCAGACACATAACACTTACTAGCTGTGTGACTCTGGGCAAGTCACTTAACCCCAATTGTCTTGGAAAAAAAAAAAGAAAAGAAAAAAGAAAAATTCCAAAGGGGGAGAAGCCTCTAACTATTGAGGCAGCCTATCCTACTTTTGGAGAGCTCTAATTGTTAAGAAGTTTTTCTTGTGATTAAACCTATATTGTCCCCTGCTACTTCCACTCATTGCTACTGGTTCTGCCTTCTGGGGCCAAACTGCACAAATCTAGTCCCTTCTACACACAGCAACCCTTTAGAAACCTGCTAAAGCTAGCATGCCAATACTTCTTCATCTTTCTTTCTCCTCCCCTTGGCCCCCAGTTTTCTTTTATCTAGGCTAATCATGCCAAGTTCCCACTAATAATCCTCATATATCATGGATTCAAAGCCCTTTACCATCCTAGATGCCTCCTCTGGACACTCTAGCTTATCAGTGTCCTTCTTAAACTCTGGTGTCCAGAAATGAACATGATATTCCTAATGAAGTCTGATTAGGGCAGAGCTCGGTGGAGCCATCATCACCTCCCTATTCCTGGAAGCTATGTTTCTCTTAATGTAGCCCAAGATAAGCCTTTTTTGTCTGTCTCATCCCACTGCTGACTCATTCTGGGCTTGTAGTCCATTGAAGCCCCAAGATCCTTTACAGAACTGCTGTCTATCTATGCCTCCCCAACCTTATACTTGTGAAGCTGATTTTTTTCTTATGTACCCAGTTACAAGACTTAGTATTTATCCCTGCTGTTAGAGTCTATACTAGTCTAGAGGTTGGCAAACTACAGCCCATAGGTCAAATCTAGCCTGCTGCCTGTTTCGTTGTCTTCAAATCTGATAAAAAATGCCACCTATGCCTTTATCCAAGTCATTGATAAACATGTTAAAAAGCATAGGGCCAAACACAGATCCCTGGGGCACTCCACTGGGGACCTCTTGCCTTGCTGACACTGAAGCATACACAACTACTCTTTGGATCTGGCCATCCAACCAATTCTAAACCCATCTAATTACATTGTTGTTTAATCCATATCTCTCTATCTTCTCCACAAGAATAGTAGTATGAGATGCTTTATTGAAATCTTTTCTAAAATTTAGGTAAACTATGTCCGCAGCATTTTTATCCACCAGTTGAGGTCAAACTGGTACGATTTGTCCTTGATGAAGCCATGCTGGCTCTTTGTGATCATCCTTTCTCAATTTTTAACAATCATATCTTTAAGGATCCTTTCTAGGATTTTCCTAAGAATTGAAGTCAAATTCACAGGCCTATAGTTTAAAGATTGTACTGTCTTCTCCTTTTTTTTGAAGAAGCAACAAAACATCTCCCCGTAAACCTGGGGCATGTTTTCACAAAGACATCTAATGTCAGTGGAGAGAGTGGACACATAAAGTTCTCAAGTAAAGAAACAATACGCCTACAGATACAGAGTATACATGAAGAAAGACATGCACACAAGGAACATGTATGGCCAAAGTATGTGATAGGAGTAACTCATCATGCCAACCTAATAAAATAGTGACACTACTTAAATTAATTTATGTATTTATTGTTATACTAATCAAATTACAAAGGGGATACTTCGTAGCTCTAGGAAAAACAATAACTAAGTTGATTTGGAGGAACAAAAATTTTAGAAACTCAAGGGAAATAATGGAAAAAAGTAGGGATGAAGGGAACATAGCATTATCAGACCCCAAACTATTATAAAGCATTAAACATTAAAACAATTTGGTAATGGTTAAAAAATAATAAAGTAGAACTGACTAGATAAGAATCAGGAGCAAATGAAAATAGCAGTGATAAAGCCAAGAATATAAATTACTGATAGAAGGAATTCCTTTAAAACAACAACTGCCAGGAAAATTATAAAGTAATATAGAGGAAATTAGATTTGGACCAGCTTATTATACCATGTACTACAACAACTTCCAAATGGATATACTAAAAAAAAAATTAAAAAACCCAACCTCATCTACCTAGTTTTCACTTAACTCACCTGGGCAGTTCCTCTGGCATTCAATGTGTTTCCCTTTGCTCCAACTGGGATATCACATCTGGCTTAGAAAGTTCAATTCCTTCTTATTGGAAATGGGAAAGGACTGGGAACAGAGAGTCACCTTAGCACTCTACCCTGACCCCTTCCTCTTTAGGGAAAAGTGGCCACACTAGGGAAGAGCAGAGAGAAGTAAAAGGCCTGTTGAAGGCCTTTTGTATTATGTTCCTACAAAGTACAGGAGAATAGTTCACAAACTGGTTTTGGGCTCAGGAAAACAAAAAGTTTCTTTGACCCACTCCCTGCCATATATATATATATATATTTGGCCATCCGTACTGAGTATTTAGTGGGAAATCATGGACCTGAAGGAAAAGAAATCTTAGGGGTGAGGTAGTAAGGCAGTGTGGATTTATAGTTACAGGACATGGATTCGAGTCCTGGCTCTACTATTTACTATTTGTGAGATCTTGTGCTTCAGCTCCCTATTTTGTAAGGACTTGACCTCAGAAGTCCCTGCC